CAGAGAGTTATTAGAAAAAAAGAAAAACCGGTAAGATGGAGAACAAGAGACCAAAGACACACACAAATGTGAGAATTTTCTCTGTTAAAAATTACGATAACCACTGTATTCTCTTAGTTTAATGTTGTTTCAGTGTATTATGGTCCTTTTGTTCAAAACAAGCATAAAAAAATCGCTAATAGCATGCTAATGTCTCAGTAGCTAACTAGCTAACTTTCCCGTTCCACCTTAAATAGTCCAGCAGTTCTGACACCTGAAGTGCCAGAATGTAACTGCTGCTCCATTTAAGGTGGAACAGGAAAATTTGAACGAGAATCTGGTGAATATCTGACTTCAGCTTCATATCACTGAAGAATTAGGGGGCGATAATAAATAATTGCCCCCCTCTTTGAAGTCATATGATCCCTAAATGTAACTAAAGCCCAGCAGTGAGGAGCTGAACTTTACCCTCCTCTGCTGTCACTGCAGACTGGCAAGGTCACCTACAGAGCAGCGCTGGTAGCTGTTAACGAAGTAATGCTCTTTTTATTTGAGGGTCCCAGTTCAGAGGGAAGGTTTCAACCACTTCCCTGTAACTCAGTTCCAAGGGGTTAGGGTGACACAAAACAAAGGGTTGGGGTAAAAAGAAGAAATGGGATTGGGCCTAGGACAGGAGTCCGAGATAGTGTAGATGCTGAGGTTTCTGTTTGAGGAGGCAGTAAGATAGGTGCAGGTATGGACTGGGTCTAAATAAGTCCCATCACAACAGTCTGCACGTATATACAGGATTTGTATGTTGCATGTTGATTTGGATAAAACCTTCTGATAAATGAATAAATTCAAATGTAAGTTATTTTAGACCCAGGGTTTACATGTCTACTTGCCTATATAATGTACTCCGTGCAGATTTATATCACTTTAATATTTGTTTTAATGTACTAAGACTTTTGTTTCATATGTTTTTATCTGGATAACTTAAATGATGCTCAAAAATGTATTATTATTTTTCTCCTGTCCTCATTTATTTTAGTAAATCAGAGATACTTTGAAAGGAGATGCATGGCCTGGCGTCACATGATTAATGTAGACTAAAGGTTGTTACACACTGAATGAAACACAAAAAAACAAGACAAAAATGTAAAATATTCAGATGCAATTTTTCTGCATCAAAACTATACACACTGGAGAGGACGCATTTTTTTTAATTTTGCCAAATTGTCTCTGCTGTGAAAAAAGACAAGCTTATCTATGATAAGATCCTTAACTCACAAAACAGGCAAACTGTGACGGTGTGCAGGAGAAAGGAGAGTCTCTCCACCTCATTTCATGAGCTAAGACTTTCTCTCACAGTGTGAATCTCCATAACTCAAGTCTGGGCTGGTTTTGGAGATGCAGCTTCACACCAGATGAAACCCAAAATGGGCCGAGTGAAAAGTGCAACACGATCTCCTTCATTCCTCACAGATCGAGCACACAGGGCTGCTGTCTCTTTTGGAAATGTGAAAAAAGAGAAGCTGAAACTCTGAGTGCTTCCATACAGGCTGTAACTTGGATGTCTTCAGACCAGTTAGAGCTCCGTTTGAGCTGCTTTTGGAGATTCTGATCCTTTTTGCACTTAGTTCTATTTTGTGGAACTCAGCTGTTCCGCCATCTTGGTTATTGCCATTCCAAAAGCAGATATGACTGTGATTGGTCAGTAAGATTTTTGTCATTGATGAAAGTTCACAAAAACGAAAAGAGGGCAAATAAAAGAATGTCACATCTGAAAAACCACGACTTAATGTACTGTCGTCCGAATAAATGACATTCAGTGTGTAATGGCCTTTATTATTATAAGGTCGATAAACCATAGGCTGGTGGCCGTTGTCCGCCCCTGGATGGGAGTCAGAGATATGGTGGAAGCTGAGGTCTCTGTTTAAGGAGACGCTGAGATAGGATTCCGAGGTAGTGTAGATGTTGAGGTCACTGTTTCAGGAGGCAGTAAGATGGGAGTCCAAGGAAGTGTAGGTGTTGTATATTGGCCTGACATCATTATTTTTATATTCATTGAACTGTATTTGCTGTAAGGAACAGATTATAATGTAACAAACAGATTATTATGTAACTAATGTACAATGAAAGCCACATAAGTTTCTGTGTGCATTTGAGTTTTCTTTCTTGGCACAAACACTGGAATTTGGAACCAAGGGCTCCAACCCCCACTCCCCCCTTAGACAGAAACGCCTACAACAGGACTGCTTTGCAGTGTTGGGAGAATTTAACAATGTCTTCCTCACCAGTTTTCAAAATGTATATTTACTGGTGCAATTGCAGTTTGGGTAAACTACCTAATCTGTGGAGTACTGTTGTTATAACACTGTAACAGTAACTATATATATATATATATATATATATATATATATATATATATGTACACACACACCCTAATCAGGCTTTATGACCACCTCGTTTCTACGCTCATTGTCAATTTATCAACTCCACTTACTATATAGATGCACTTTGTAGTTCTACAATTACAGACTGTAGTCCATCTGTTTCTCTGATACTTTGTTAGCCCCCTTTTACCCTGTTCTTCAGTGGTCAGGACCCCCATGGACGTTCACAGAGCAGGTACTATTTGGGTGGTGGAACATTCTCAGCACTGCAGTAACACTGATGTGGTGGTGGTGGGTTAGTGTGTGTTGTGCTGGTCCTGGACCTGAGTGTGGCCAGGATGGCTGGTTCTAATGTCAGTTCGGTGTACCAGAGGACCTCCGCAGTGACCAGGTGTGCAACTGTGAGTTGGGGGTCATGGTTGTAGCCAGAGTGTCTGTCTTCTCTCTATATCTGATGAGATCTCTAGTTTGTTTTTAGCATTGAGTTACCTATTTTCTGGTTTTTCCTCTCTGGAGGAGCTGATAAAATGGACAATGAGTGTAGAAACAAGGAGGTGGTCATAATGTTATGCCTGATCGGTGTAATTTTATGCACAGTATCTCACAAAAGTGAGTACACCCCTCACATTTCTGCAAATACTTTATTATATTTTTTCATGGGACAACACTATAGAAATGAAACTTGTATATAACTTAAAGTAGTCAGTGTACAGCTTGTATAACAGTATAGATTTACTGTCTACTGAAAATAACACAGCCATTAATGTCTAAATAGCTGGCAACACAAGTGAGTACACCTCACAGGGAACAAATGTCCAAATTGTGCCCAATTGTGTCGCTGTCCCTCCCTGGTGTCATGTGACTCATTAGAGTTACAAGGTTCCAGATGTGAATGGGGAGCAGGGCTGTGAAATTTGGTGTTTTGGGTACAATTCGCTCATACTGGCCACTGGATATTCAACATGGCACCTCATGGCAAAGAACTCTCTGAGGATGTGCGAAGTAGAATTGTTGCTCTCCACAAAGATGGCCTAGGCTATAAGAAGACTGCTAACACCCTAAAACTGAGCTATAGCATGGTGGCCAAGGTCATTCAGCGGCTTTCCAGGACAGGTTCCACTCAGAACAGGCCTCGCCAGGGTTGACCAAAGAAGCTGAGTCCACGTGTTCAGCGTCATATCCAGAGGTTGGCTTCAAAAAATAGATGCATGAGTGCTGCCAGCATTGCTGCAGAGGTTGAAGAAGAGGGAGGTCAGCCTGTCAGTGCTCAGACCATACGCCGCACAATGCATCAACTCGGTCTGCATGGCCATCGTCCCAGAAGGAAGCCTCTTCTGAAGCTGATGCACAAGAAAGCCGCAAACAGTTTGCTGAAGACAAGCAGTCCAAGAACATGGATTACTGGAACCATGTCCTGTGGTCTGACGAGACCAAGATAAACTTGTTTGGCTCAGATGGTGTCCAGCATGTGTGCCGATGCACTGGTGACGAGTACCAAGACAACTGTCTCTTGCCTACGGTCAAGCATGGTGGTGGTAGCATCATGGTCTGGAGCTGCATGAGTGCTGCCAGCACTGGGGAGCTGCAGTTCATTGAGGGAATGAATTCCAACATGTACTGTGACATTGTGAAGCAGAGCATGATCCCCTCCCTCGGAAACTGCGCCGCATGGCAGTTTTCCAACTCAATAACAGCCCCAAACACACCTCCAAGATGACAACTGCCTTGCTGAAGGTAAAGGTGATGGACTGGCCAAATATGTCTCCAGACCTAAACCTAATTGAGCACCTGTGAGGCATCCTCAAGCAGAAGGAGGAGGAGCGCAAGGTGTCTAACATCCACCAGCTCCGCGATGTCATCATGGAGGAGTGGAAGAGGATTCCAGTAGCTTTTAAGGTTAAGGCAGTGTTTGATAATAATGGTGGTCACAAAAATATTGACACTTTGAGCACAATTTGGACATGTTCACTGTGTGTGTACTCACTTGCATTGCCAGCTATTTAGACATTAATGGCTGTGTGTTGGGTTGTTTTCAGTGGACGGTAAATCTATACTGCTGTACAAGCTGTACACTGACTACTTTAAGTTATATCGAAGTTTCATTTCTATAGTGCTGTCCCATGAAAAGATATAATAAGATATTTGGACGAATGTGGGGGATATACTCTTTTTTGTGAGATATATATATATGTATATATATAAATTGTATGTATATATGTATGTATGTATATATGTGTGTAAACTTAGACCGATCAGGCATAACATTATGACCACCTCCTTGTTTTGTCACTTTTGTGAGATATTGTATATACATTTTATATATATATATAATAATGAGATGTTGATGCTTAACATTTCTTCTGGTAACTGTTTGACAGCCTGTCACACTGCAGTTTGATGCACCAGCAAAAACAGGGATATGTGGCTGTGTTGGGGCTTCATCTTCATTAAATATAATAATTAGAAAATGCAGTTTAGTAAAGGTTGTGATTGTAGTTTGTTGTTATCTTCATTTCACCACCAAACTGCAATTGCACCAGTAAATATACGTTTTGAAAACTGGAGAGGAAGACATTGTTAAATTCTCCCAACACTGCAAAGCAGTCCTGCTGTAGACATTCCCTTCCAAGGGGGGGGTGGGGGTTGGAGCCCTTGTCTGCAGCCAGACACTTCGCCAAAATTCCAGTGTTTGCGCAACGAAAGGAAGCTGCAGAGAGGAAAAACCAGAAAAAAAGGCAACTCAATGCTAAAAACAGACTACAGATCTCATCAGATATAGAGAGAAGACAGACACTCTGGCTACATCCATGAACGGTTGATAATTTTCCTGATAAACGTGATATTCAGTAAGTAAAACCATGTTTTTTTCCACCTTGCAAGTCAGCTGTGCTGCCAAACCATGTTGTGTGATTAAACAATTTTAAGCTTGCTAAAGTTAAATATTAGAGAATAAATAAGATAATTTTGCAAAAAGCTCATTTAAGCATAAATAACAAAAAAGTGTTACACGTGTTGGTTTTATCCCCCTTAAACTTTTTTTCATTCTTTTTTTTTTTTTTACTGAGCTGCAGCTGGTTAAAACAGGATTGAGACGTCAGGTCATTGCAGCCAAACTGCAATTCCGTTCCAGATGTATTTTTCATTTGTTCTGTATGTAAGATGTAATGAGACTGTAGGAGTATTTTAGTGAGTTTTAAAGAGAAATGACAGTTTATGTATGTTTTAGTTTATTTAATTTTAAAAGCAACACAGAAAATTTTCAGTTTTATAAGCTGAAAAAGAGAGAAACAATGTTAAATTGATTACATGGCAACAGCACATGTACAATATGTAAATACTTATTTTTTTATCATTCAGAAGACTTTGTACCATGTATAACATTTTTCATGTTTTGCAGATTTTGTTGCAACAATGTCTTCTGTGTTGTCCTTTGGATTTCTGTTGCTATGCCTGTCATTGAAACTGTTCCCATGTGAATCCAAACCAGGTAAGAAAATCCTGGAAAGAAAAACGTATAGCAAAATTTATAAACTCCCATTTTTATTGTAAAAGTTTAAAACGTTTATTCTAAAAACATTAACATGATAACTTTGAATGTAAACAGATTTTCGTTTAACTGAGAAGTAAAATTTCGGCTACATCTTGTTTCCCTGCAAATTGATAAGCAATACATACTCAGATGTATTGATTTAAAATGCTAGTGAACTCATGTATGACAATGTGTCCCTCAACATTTCCTCAATACGGCAGGTGAGCTGCATGATTTGCCAACTGACACCAGCGAGAAACATGACTGGTGTAAATATGTGGCCCGGAGCTGCAAAGAACTCAAAGACAAGCATAAAGTTTCTGAAGGTAAAGCTGAAATTGCGAGTCTGAAATTTTCCAACGAAATCGAATAGGTTTTGACCAGGCAGTACTGTTTGTTTATAAACAGATGGCTTGTACTTCCTAACAACGGAGAGCGGGGTGGTCTACCAGACCTACTGTGATATGAGCACTGCTGGAGGTGGCTGGACGTTGGTGGCCAGTGTGCACGAGAACAACATGTATGGGAAATGCACTGTAGGTGACCGCTGGTCTAGTCAGCAGGGCAATGACATCAACGTACCTAATGGAGATGGAAACTGGGCCAACACAGCCACATTTGGAACTGCAGAAGCTGCTACTAGTGATGACTACAAGGTACAGTAAGGCGCAGTACAAGGGATAGACTGATACAGGAATTCTGGGCCGATGCAGTTTGCCAATGTTTTTCAAGTGCATATCTGTCAATGTCAAAGTTGATACATATACATTATGTATGTATGTATGCATGTTATGTATGTTAAGGTTAGAGTTTAGGAGTAGATGTAGGATTTCAGGGCTAGATTTAAAAGAATATTTCATACTCAAAGGTCAGTTGAGTTAAATAGATATTTAGTTGAATGTTTATTAGACTGAGAATCTAAAAAGCATCAACAGTGGACCATCAAAATAATGTGTTCCCTCCACTTCTTACAGAATCCTGGGTATTATGACATTTTGGCACAGGATGTGTCTGTGTGGCATATTCCTAATAATGTTCAGCTAAAACAATGGACCAGTTCTTCTATCTTAGCCTACCACACTGAGAACCACTTTCTCCGCCTCCATGGAGGAAATCTTTTCAACTTATTCAAGGTAAAACCATCAGCTAATCTTTCGGAAAAGCTATATACTTGCCACATAAATATGGTTGAATGTGTTAATAGTTCCCCAAGATTATTTAACAAAGAGAAAAAGTGCAGTGAAGTGTAGTACAGTATGAATAAAAACACCAAAGTTTGAAAGATCTGATGCAATTCAATGTAGCGGGCAAAGTAGATCCAATGGACAAAAGAATAATCATATTTTTCCTGATTTTCAGCAAGCCATACATTGGTAAACATTTCTCTCTACATCTTTTGTTTTGGTCATAGAATACAGTAAAACCTAAGATGAAATCCCTGAAAAGTTTATGCATCAAATAGTTGAAAAGTCATGACTCAAAATTTGCACCTTTCCCCAAAGCACTCATTTTAAGGCTACACCCACTTTTAACTTATGAAGATACAAGCCCAACATTTTGCACAGTATTTGTTGGACAAATTGACACTTTTGGTGATTTCACATGGCTTGATGCTCTTCACAGTGGTTTGCCCGCATAAACATCCTCATTCATTTTCCTTTTAGAAATTCCCAGTGACCTATGGAATAGGAACTTGTCATGTTGATAACGGACCTACTGCCCCAGTGGTATATGATACCGGAAATGAAGCTTCTACCAAGAACTTTTATGGTCCCAGTGCAAGAGGTAGGTCAACATTCTTTGAGTACTAGGAACCTCACTACTGAATTTTTAAGATGGATAAGATGGAAAATATCACTATGTTGCTTTACTTCACAGTTTATACCTTAAATAAAATTATGAAAATTTCATGCATGTAGCCTCAAAAGTTCAAAAGTAACATTATCAAAATTTGTACCAAACAACTCAGTTCAAAAACCCAGAATGACATTGGCCTGAATCCTATGCCCAAACTCAGCACTGTTATTGGTTAAAGGCAGTAAATAGTTTATTTGAACCTCTTCAGGACAGTTTGAGACTGGCTACATCGCTTTCAGAGTGTTTAACAATGAGAAGGCAGCCATGGCGATCTGCTCTGGAGTCAGACCAACTGGCTGTGATACAGAACATGTGAGTTAACAAACAGGCTCAAGTTTGACTATTTCATAAGTGCATGTAAAGATGCAGGATTAACTATAAACATAATCTTCTGCAGTACTGTATCGGTGGAGGAGGTCATTTCCCAGAAGGTGCACCCAGACAGTGTGGAGATTTCCCTGCTTTTGACTGGGATGGATACGGGACAAATAGAGACTGGAGTGCGTCCCGAGAGATCACTGAAGCTGCTGTGCTTCTTTTCTATCGCTGAGACCCAAATCACACATTCAGCTTTCTCTTCTGCTTTTCTCTTTACTTATTCGAAAAATATTAGAATGTTGTTTTTAATGCAGGAGAGATGGAGGGGCATCATCTTGCCCTCCAAACAATCGCTTCAGTCACTCTGGATTTGACATCGTCCTCATTTGTTGCATTACGAGAGATTGAAGAGGCTCTGGAGCTTTAAGATTGAGATACAATGATCTCAAAGATGTTTTTTTGCTGTTCAGACTATCAAAAATAGATCAGGATACAAGACTGGCATGTCCAGATGTGCTATAGAGATTAATAATGTGTGTTCTCCTTACTTAAAATGGTTAAAACACAAGAGTAAAAATCCAGCCCACTTTGAGACTTTAAACATAAAGTTACACTTACTATTCAGCGGACTCAGTCAACAGTTTTAGTCAATACTGTATCTGGATAACCAACTTTGTTGATTTATTGGACTCAACATTACAACATTATTTTTTGTTCTGTTTTTAACAGGAAATGTAACCACTTGCATGTGGCCTCATCCTCTCTTATCTATATATCTAAGCTTATCTATATCAAACTGTGATGTATTCATGTTTTATAAAAGGTATTTTGCTAAATGATCCCATTTTACCAGACTTCCATTCGTGCTTTTATGATTCATCTTGTATTTACTTTAAAGAGAATGGTGTATACTGATTTTCATCATGCATAAGCCAATATATCAGCAATGTTAAAAAGAAAAATTGAGTCTCTGTGTCTTTTATGTGTATTTTTAGGTCACTTCACATTTGGACAACTAGGTTTATGTCTTTATAATTACATTAGGAGGTGCAGACCAAATTAAATTTTCCCTGCTTAAAACATTCAAACTGGCATTTATGCTCTAAGGTTCATGGTTACGTTTCAAATTTCACAGTTTTTTTTAATCTTAGGTTTTGAGTTTTGAATTTTAGTTTCACATAATGCATACTGTAATATATACAATAAAAATTAAAGAAGCACTCATGTAGAGGTCCTGTTGACCTTAATGTAAGCCCTCCCTATATTGGTTAAAAAACACATTTAGTTTGTTCCTCCCTAATAAATCTACATTCCAGGCCCTGATTTGACCCAAAATGTCTAATGGCGGTACATAGTACAAGATCATGCCTGGACTCGAGAGTCTAGGAACAAGAAAGCTTGATATCAGTCACTAGCAAAATGTAGGCATTGCTTCATAATTCACTTACAGAAACCAACTACACAACCCAGCATGCAACATGGTAACATAAAACAACTAAACGTAACATTAGTCAACTAACAAGACGTTACTGTTTTGTTCTTGCTCAAAATCAAAATACATCTTTAGAAATACAGTTAACAAATTATGAAACACAATCCTGTGCAAAAAATGCCAGCTTTCAACTGTCTTAAACCAAATCATTATTCAGTAAATATGCAACGGTTAAACAAACACATGCAGTAAGTTGGTGTAGGGGAAGCTTTTCTCTTTGATTTCTTTAAATGTTGAAGTCTTGTGGGTAAACTTGCAGAAATACTTTTACATATTATTGTTCCGCTCATCACTAATGGCTGAAAAACATTGCCAAGCTAGTTTGTGTTTAATGTAAGACCAAACATCCTCTATAGGGTTTAAATCTGGACCCTGATCAGCCAAAATCTCAGCCTGAACTTGTTCTCAACCCACTTCTTGGTGGTCTTTGCAGTGTGAGCAGGAGCATTTCTTTAGACTACCTTCTGGTAATTGGTCTTATTTTCTGAGGTCTTCAGTTCTGCTGACAGTTTTAGTAGATTTTTCTTCTCTGTCTTTGAGAACTTTAAATATTACTGGAGCAGCTCTCCTTCATCTTCAAAATGTTGCCAAGTTAAGAAATGCTATTTCCCTAAAGGACGCAGTAAAGCTAGTTCACGCCTTTATAACCTTGCAGGCTAAGTTACTGCAATGCCCTGCTGTCTTGCTGTTCCAGCAAAAGCCTTAACAAGCTTCAGTTAGTCCAGAATGTGACAAGCAGAGTCCTTACAAGAACTAGAAACCAGAATATGAGCCCAGTTTTATCAACACTACTTTGGTTAGCAGTTAAATTAGAATAAGTATTGACTAAGATGCCCTTAAATGAGTTTAAATACACATGAGGCTTTTTCACCTGCATTTTTCCACTTGTGCTTTGGCAGGTGGACAGACTTTGGGCTGTTTTTCATGATTTTGCAAAAAATGTAAAGTTAATATAATTCACTGCTTTGCAATGCAGATGAAACCTGAATAGGCTTAACTGCTAATACATCTGAAAGTTATGCACATAATTAAATTGTTTAAAACCGTTTTGATACCAACCTGAGAAGCATGTCAACATCCTTAGAGAGCTAGGATGTTAATATTTGCTCAAAATGTTTGTTTTGATCTAGTCTTCTCAATACTGAGCTCTTAGGCAGAAATTGGTTCCACCTTTGTGCTCTTGAGTGTGTGTAGATTCTGTTCTTATCTCTGAACAAATTCCAAATAAGAAAACATTGGTGAAGCATTTAATCACAATAAAAACACTTTAAAACATTGACTCTTTCACTCACCTATGAAGGTGACAATCCAATTTGCTTCTCGTTTGGTAAGTCATACACATTTTGATCAAAATATTATCAAAATACATAGACAGGAAAAAATGCTTTAGCTTAACTAATGGAGCTCCAAAACAGGTCGAAAACACGTGTTACGGCTACTGTAAAAAAAGGGGTTAAAACTGTCATAAACTTGTCCATTATCATACACACTTAAATCTACCATAGAGAAGAACTGTGTCCATATGAGACCCTGAGAGTCAAATAATTAGATGTGTACACACACACACACACACACACACATTTATACACACACACAGTGCTCAGCATAAATGAGTACACTCCTTTGAAAAGTAACATTTTAATCAATATCTCACTGAACACAAAAACAATTTCCAAAATTTTGAAACATTTGTTTGACCTATAACCACTTAGATTACAAAATCCTCAGTTTTACTCAAATTAATTGATGCAAAAAATGAATACACCCCACAACAAAAACTACTACATCTAGTATTTTGTATGACCTCCATGATTTTTAAGGACAGCATCAAGTCTTCTTGGCATGGAATGAACAAGCTGGCGACATATTGAAACATCAGTCTTTTTCCATTCCTCAAGAATGACCTCTTTTAGGCCACTTTTACTTGGCCACTGAATCACTCTCACCCTGTTCTTCTTCAGAAATGCAGCAGTGGCCTTAGATGTGTGTTGTGGATCATTGTCATGCTGGAAAAGTGCATGACAACCAAGTCATGCAACATGACAACGGAGTGATGGTAGCATCTTCTCTTTCAATATAGAGCAGTACATCTGTGAATTCATGATACCATCAATGAAATGCAGCTCCCCGACACCTGCAGCACTCATGCAGCCCCACATAAGGACACTGCCCCCACCATGTTTCACTGTAGGCACTATGCATCTTTCTTTGTACTCCTCACCTTTGCGACGCCATACAGTTCGGAAGCCATCAGTTCCAAAAACACTTACCTTGGTCTCATCACTCAAGAGTGTAGAGTCCCAGTAGTCTTCATCTTTTTCAGCATGGGCCCTGGCAAAATCTAGGTGGGCTTCCTTCGTGGACGACACCCGTGCATGCCATTCCTGTGCAGTGTACGCCGTATTGTGTCATGGGAAACAAGCACCCCAGATTGCCTTTCTACTCCTTTAGCTAACTGCAGTGAACTTGCATGGCAATTTTCATCAAGGCTTCTCATCAGAAGACGCTCCTGTTTAGGTGATAACTTCCGTGGACGGCCTGGACGTCTTTGAGATGTGTTGCAGTTCCATCTTTGTTAAGTTTTTGTATCACTTTTGCTACAGTATTCTGGCTGATAAGTAAAGATTTGCTGATCTTCTTGTAGCCTTCACCTTTCTTGTGTAAAGAAATGATTTTCTTTCACAGGTCTTGTGACATTTCTCTTCCATGTGGTGCCACTGATGACAGCATGAAATGGGACGGGGTTTTCTTTGTTAAGTAACGCCCTTTTATAGTCAACTGTCTGCTGGACACCTGTTTAATGAATAATTAGACTCACCTGTGGTTGAATTCTTAGTAATTAGAATTTTGTAGTCTGAACTTTAGCTGTCCTTTTGTGACTTTCTTTGGGGTGTACTCATTTTTGCAACATGGTCATGAATGAATTTGTTAGGAAAATTACTTTTTGTGTGTGCAAATTAACACATCTTGTTTGCAATCAATGACCCACATTTGTGGGAGTATTTTGTAGTATAGTATCCACAGAAAATGTTGATTCTGAAAGGAAACTAAAGGTTTTCTGACAAATCTGTTGGGGTGTACTCCTTTATGCTGAGCACTGTTTATACACACCTACAAAAGACAAAAGTATTGGGACACACCTCTTAATTACTGAATTCAGGTATTTCATTCAGTCTCATTGCCACAGGTGTATAAAATCTAGCACCTAGCCACAGCGACTCAGCCACGAAGTGTCAGACCACGTAAAGTTACAGAGCGGGTCGCCGAGTGCTGCGGATTATAGAACATAAAAGTCACCAACACTCTGCTGATCAATAACTGTTCCAACCTCCTCTGGCATCAAAATCAGCACAGAAACTGTGCCAGAAGCTTCATGGCATGAGTTTCCATGACCGAGCAGCTGCATGCAGTCCTTACATCACCAAGCACAATGCCAAGCGTCAGATGGAGTGGTGTAAAGCGCCGCCACTGGACCCTGGAGCAGTGGAAACATATTCTGTGAGTGACCAATCACACTTCTCTATCCGTTAGTCTGACGGACGAGTCTGGGTGCACTGTGCCAGCTGTAAAGTTTGGTGGAGGAGGGATGATGAGGGCTGTTTTTCAGGGGTTGGTCTAGAACCCTTAGTTCCAGTGAAGGGAAATGTTAATGCTTCAGCACCAAGACATTTTCGACAATTGTATGATTACAACTTTCTGGAAAAGTTTGGGGAAGAACCTTTTCTGTTCCAGCATGACTGAGACCCAGTGCACAAAGCAGCTCCATAAAGTCATGACTGGGTGAGTTTGGTATGGAAGAACTTGACCAGCCCTCACAGAGCCCTGACCTCAACCCAATCAACACCTTTGGGATGAACTAGAACTCAACATCAGTGTCTGACCCCACAAATGCTCTTGAATGGACAGAAATTCCCACAGACACTCCAAAATCTTGTAGGAACTTCTCAGAAGAGTGGAAGCTTTTACAGCTGCAAAGGGGGACCAACTCCATATGAATGCCTATGGATTTGGAATGGAATTCATTAAACCTTTTGTAGGTGTAATAAATATTGTTGTGTTAGCGGCAGTTTGAAAAGATGCAGTGGAGCTTCACAGTGGAGTCTGTGTTCGCTTTCGCCCTCCTAGAGCTGGGAGTATCGTGTGATTGGGGGAGTCCTGACTAGTGGGTGGAATTGGAGATGACTACATTGAGGAGAAAATTGGGGGAAAATAAAAAAAACAAACAACAA